CAAATCAATGTTCTTACCACCAAAGCACAATTTGAAGTCTTTTGTACTTTTTAAGTATCTCAATATCTTTTTTATCGTTGTCCAATGTATTGGTCCAGTCTTAGACATGTGTTGGCTTACAATACTTACCACACATGTAAGATCCATTCTTGTAGCCACCATTGCACACATGAATGAGCATACTATTGCCTTGTATAGAACACTTTGCATCTCACCTTCAACTTGTGTAAACTCCTCATCCGTAAACTTCATCAACTTCAAATTTGCCTCCAATGGTGTTTCAATTAGCTTGCACTCTTCTATGTTGAATCGTTTCAACACTTCTTCAATGTACTTGATTAGGCTCATTGTAATGGTCTTGTTACCACAATCTCTTACAAATTCCACTCCCAAGCAGTAGTACAAATCTTCCAAATCACTCATCTCATATTCCTTCTCTAATTTGGCCTTCATCCAATCCATCTTTTCCATATTGTTAGCGAAGATGATCAAATCATCAACATAAAGGATTATAATCAACAAGAACTCTCTAGATTGCATCACATACAATGAATGATCAGCCTCACTCCTCACAAATCCTTCATTGACAAAGAAGGTGTCAATTCGTTAGTACCATGCCCTTGGTGATTGTTTCAATCCATACAAGGATTTCTTCAATTTGCACACAAGATGTTCTTTGTCTTGTTGTACAAATCCTTAAGGTTTGTCCATGTAGATGTCTTCTTGTAATTCTCTATTCAAAAAGGCCGTCTTCACATCCATTTGGTGTATTTCCAAATCCATTGCTACCTCAATTGCTACAATGGTTATGATGGTGGTGAATTTGGCAACAAGTACATAAGTCTCATTGAAATCAATTTCAAAAACTTCTGAGTATCCTTTGGCAATTAGTCTTGCCTTGTGCCTCACCACTACATCCATTACATTTGTTTTTGTTCTAAACACCCACTTACAATCAACACTAGATCGATTTGCTAGAAGATGTGCCAATTCCCATGTACCATTGTCCATAAGACATTGGTATTCTTCTTCCATAGCCTTCTCCCACTTGATTGCATCTTCACACTTCATAACATTACACAAAGACAATGGATCAACAAGAAGAGTAATATTTGGATGTTCTTCACTTACTTGAGGCAAGATGTGATCCTTCCACCATTTGCCACGTTGCCTTCTTTCTCTCAAAGGATGTCTCCTTTCACTTATAGAAGAACATTCACCTTGTTGCACTCTATGTTCTTTTCTAACCTTCATCTTTCTTAAACCTTGTAGTTTCTCACTCAATGGTTGGTACTCTTCATCATTATCATCATCCCAATCTTCAACATCTTCATTTCTTTCATTGCTGGTCCTAGCAATTGTAGGAGCCTTCATCTTTTCAACCTTCTTTGACTTTTCATCTTTATCATCTTCATTGTCTTCATCTTCTTGTTTCTTTGCTGAATTCAAAGATGTATCCACAAACACACCATTACTCTCACTTGGACACATTTTCAAGTGTTGACAAGTACTCTTGTGCTCCAAAAACTCAACATCACGACTTTTGATGATCTTCTTGGTTTCCAAGCACATGAGCCTATATGCCTTAGTACCTTCACAATAACCAAGAAACATACACTTTGTATCTTTTGTATCAAGTTTGGACCTCATACAATCTAGTGTTTTTGCATATGCAAAGCAACCAAAGGTCCTCATATGGAAAATGCAAGGTTGTCTCCCACTCCAAGCTTCTTATGGTGTCATTGATGCAAGAGCACTTATTGGACATCTATTTCTTGTATACACTGCATTCACCACAGCTTCCGCCTAAAATTCATAGCCAAGATTTTGAATATGAAGCATGCTCCTTGCGATTTCTACAATGGTTCGATTTGCCCTTTCAGCAATATTATTTTGTTGTAGAATGTATGGAATTGTGGTTTGTCTAGGAATTCCTTCATTCTTCAAATAAACATCAAATTGCTTAGACATGTACTCACCTCCATTGTCTATACTCAGCACCTTGATCTTATATTCAATTTATTTTTCAATAAGTGCTTTAAACTCCTTAAACCTCCAAAAGCATTCACTCTTGGCTTTAAGAATATAGATCCAAATCTTTCTTGAATAATCATCAATGAAAGTGAGAAAATACCTTGATCCTCCAATATTTGTGTTCTTCATAGGTCCACATACATCCGAATGAACAATCTCTAACAACTTGGTAGCATGTATTGCTACACTCCTTGGAAATGAGGCCCTTTATTGTTTTCTTTATATGCATCCTTCACATGCAAGTTGTTTTTCATTTTGGCTTGTATTGCCAAGATCTAAGCCACTTACCATAGTCTTGAGCTCTTCCATGCTCTTCACATTCAAATAGCTAAGGAGACAATGCCATATATTCAACTTGTCTTGGTTTGATGTAAAGTCAACAAATACAACTATCTCCACTCCATTTACCTTCTTACAAATGAAGTAGTACAAATTTTCCTCTTTCAAGCCTTTGAAGATCTTGTTTCTACTCAATGTTCATACAAAACATCCATTCATATCAAATTGAACTTTAAAACCTTCCATTACAAGTTTATTCATAGAAAGTAGGTTTTGCTTCATCTCAGGTACATGAAGGATATTTTTGAGTTTGATCCTATTGGTTTATCGATTCACAACCACCTCCACCATAATAGAGCCAATTCCAATGGCTTCACATGTACCACTATCCGCCAACACCACGTTTGATGTTGGAATAGCCTCATAAGTGTCAAATGAACACTTATAAAGTGTCATATACTTAGAACAATCTGAATCCACAATCCATCTTGACATGGCAACAATAGAGGTCTCATTTATTGCTGTGAATGCATAATCTTGTCCTCCAAAGTCATCTTGCACACTATTTGCATTCTCCTTCTCTATTTTTTTTTTTACCTTGGTAGCAATTTTGAGCAAAATGGCCTACTTTGCCACAAATGAAGCAAGATTTGATATCATCTCGTTGATTTGGATAGTTGTCCTTACCTTGATGTGAGTAGAGTGCTAAATCTTTACTTTGGGACTCCTTTTCTTTCTTCTTGGTTATTTCATAGGCAAGTCTTGCCATCATATAGTCCATTGTAAGCTCTTTTAGCTTGATAGACTCTAAAGCCACAATAAGGTAGTTGTAGGATTCGAAAAGACTCATTACCAAGGTCATGACAATATCACTTTCTTCTAAAGGCTTGTCAACAATTGCTAGTTGGTTTGCAAGAGCCTTTACCTTATTGACATAAGCCATGACGTCTTCACCTTCTTCCATCTTGTAAGTAAAGAACTTCTTCCTTGTATAGATGATATTGGATAAGTTTTTGCTCTTATAGATGTTATAAAGAATCTTCCATGCTTCCGCTGGTCCTTTACAAGAGATAATGTGGAAGAAGTTGGCTTCATCCACATTGATTGCAATCAATCCAAAAGCCTTCTTTTCATGACGTTTGAACTCCTTCTTTTCCTTCATATCATAGTCTTTGCTTGGAGCCTCTTCACTTTCATCTACAATATCCCAAAGATCCAAAGACGCCAACAAAAGCTCCATTTTTACCTTCAATGGTAGAAATTCTCACTTCTAATCTTCTCAATAACTCTCAATCCTTCACCCTCACTTGAAGCCATGTCTAAGGAAGAGTTGTATCAAAAAAGATTGTAAGAAGAAGTCCTAATGCTGTCAAAATCAATAAGAAGGTTTTACTGCCTTAAAATCATAGAATCCTTCTTTGTGAACAAACTAATATTTTAACCTTCAAAAATACTCTCAACTTCACTTCTAAGACTTTTCACAAGTCTAATGACCTATCTAATTATCTCAAATCTGATTTGCCACTCTAATATCTCTTTTATACTCACAAATCATTAAGAGCAAACCAAGATCTAGATCTAGATCTGAATTTGAAAGTTAGGTTCTTCTAAAGCCTAACATAAGCATCAACAATTTGATCAACTCCATACTTACAAATCACTTCAAAGAATTCCAAAAAAAAACACTCAAGCAAATGTGAGTGGGCCCATAATCTATTGAAGAAAAGAAGTCTAAAAGCTACAAACACTTAGCACTAGCAAGGATTGTAGTCTAAGAGAAGTGTAGAAAAAGATATCTCTTACTTCCAACACCTTTTACTTAAAGGTGGAGTTTACATCCTAAGTACATAGACTTCATCTAGAGTCACCTTCATCCTTTTAATTTAGAACTAGATCTATATTCGTCTTAACCTAGCCGCCACCTTAAAATCCTAGCCACCACCATAGTAACTTCATTTAATCCTTTGGTGCCTTTTGACTATTAGCAATTTACTATGCTTAATCTTTGTATGGTGGTAATTAAGTAAGAACTTGCTGATCTTCAACATTGTTTGCATATTATCATTGTTGAAGAATGTAAAGCAAATCGGTAGGTTGAAATCGAATGAAATAATTGATGAGAGGAATGCTGAACGATGTAGCGGAGGGAGATTGCTGGTCATCATGTGACACTGACCCACTTATCAACACTTAGGACACAAATGAGATGCATGTTTCATTACAGTGACAACAGTACACTCATCCGTAACAATATAGTGTGTGCAATTGCGATAGAGAATCCAGCATCGAAAGATCTCCGATTCGCTAGTCACTTGGATGATACAAACTGATGCATCGCTTGAACACAAACTGTTCACAAAGAGTTGGATACACTAACTCATGAATGCATAAGAGCTCCGAAGAATCACAGCCACTAGTATGTTCCATTTGTACAAAGCTCTGCATACACACACATACAGGTTGTTTATGAATATATATATAAATATATATATATATGTATATAAATATATTTTGTTACTTTTAACTCTAGTGAAGCTCAATTCTCCATAGCTCGACCCCTGGTTGATTTCATATTCCAGAATACTGGGTCAAACTGTTACTCCATAGGATGATACACAGTGTGCAACAATGGCATGTCCTCCAGCGTTTTCAGAAGTAACAAAATCAAAATTCAGCACTATGAGATATGTTTCTGGGTGATCCTACAAGTTTTTCCATTGCCTGTTTGACTAGAAAACAATAATGTCCACATGTGAAATAGCAGTGTGGGTGTGGACTTTGTTATCAAGTTTATTTCATACTTTCTTGACTGACAACCTCTCATCATGAGCGAACTATTGCCAAACAGATACGAACTATTGTCAAATTGATTAGTGTAATGGCAGTTGACCGAAAAGGCTTGAACCACACGCCGAACTAGTGGTAATCTTTGCAGTTAAGATGTAAATGGCAATCGTGGCCACTCCACGTAATGGTGCACATTTCTGCTCTTTGATAATAAACAATTCAAAATGAAGTAATAATGCTCACTCGTGAAAATGCTTAGTAGCATGATAGATGGCATGAATAGTATCTGGGTGGTACAAATATGTTAGAACGTCAGCAGAAGATTAGAGAGTCTGAAATGACTCACAGCAGATACTGGTCAGCAGCTCGTTTCACTGTGCCACTGAGGCTGACTCAACCTGGAATGCTTGTTTCCAGCAGTGATAAGATAGAGAGCCGTCAGTTGGGATCAATGTCTCGTTCAAACAAGAGAGAAAGTAAAGGGAAGTCTCCACGAGAATATGTGCTCCGACGCTGTTATACTGTGAGTGGATATAGCTTGACTAGTCCCTTCAAATCAGCATTAGAACATTAGGTCCCCGAGAAGAACTCCGCCAATAGCACCTCCTATCAATGCCAATGCAGAGATTTCCTGATGGTGCCGCCTCGGTCTCTGATCCGACGAAGGTCCATACGGCTGAGGAGCTTGTACAAATGGTGAAGATTCTTCGTGACGACGAAGAAAATAGGGTGCAGCACCTGCAGGACGGGTAGGAACAGGAAAATCCGATCTACTGTTCGAAGAATGTAGAACGACAGCTCTTGAAACTTGCTGCGGCACTTCATGTGGTTCGGACTGGGACTGGAAACTGTTGTGATAGGCCATGTCGGCCGGAAATCCCACTGGGTACCCTATCACAGGTTCTGCGCTTGGATTTGCTCCATTCGAACTCCTCTCTGCTTGAAGAAGACATTGAATAGATCAGTATTGCATTTCATATTGGACAAACATGTACTTTAACAAGGAAAAGTAATCCTACGTCCGGGGTCAATGGTCAATGCGGTAAGAGCTTGTTCAATCGACTCTACCTAAACGAACAAGGACGAGTACATGGATAGACTCTTCATACAGTCCATGTGCCAATTAGGGCACTGAATTCAAAACATGAACGTATCGATACAATTCTGCAACGCAACCCTGCTGGAAGTGTACATAAAACGGTGCAGAGGGCCAGAGGGAACACCATCCTTAAACTAAACTACCATATTGTAAATTGTAGATGAGGAATAAAAGGATGAAGGTAAACAGAGGCCAAAATTACCCATGAGGCTAATGGAAAGACTGATGTAACCCTGCACATGGCCTGAAGGAGTAGTCAGCTGCAATTGCACAACATCATATTCTTGAGGGTCGTCTTTCATTGCTTTAATTCTTGCCATCTCCACCAAAGAAAGATAGGTAGTTCCGAGTAGTTTATTCTCCTTTCTTCTGCGATGTCTCACCACCTTACACACCAAAGGATGCAAGCTAGTGTCAGATCACACGCCCACTTCATGTAATGATGCAATAAGATCAACCACTATGCTAATTGCATCATGTAGACATTTGTCGCAAAAAACTACCACACGTTGCAGCCGTGCAGAACAAGTCAATAGGCAAGGCACGTGACACAACTAAGCAGAAAAATTCTCCTGGCTCGTCAAACAATTGATAAATATGCGAGTTCAATCTCTGTCTAATTACCTGAATGGTGATAGTGGAATGAGGAAATATAGGCACATCCTCTCCTAAGTAGAAAACCAGCTCGTCATTCCATTGAGGAAACCGGCCCCCTTTACGATGCACCCGCGTTGACTGCTTTGCTGTGGGATCAATCCACATCAAGGTGTACACATTCATCTTCCTAAACCGTCCATCTTTCTTCAAATCTTCCGCCGCCATCACCTTGACACGAATTTCCGTGGTCGCCATGGACTCAGATGATACACTCAGAATACCTATCAAATTGCAAGAACTCCCCCTCAAAATCCAAACCAATCTACTTCAGATGCTTTCCTCACATCCTCTACTTCACCGAGCCAAATCGCATCACACCGAGCCAGCTTTGTGATACTAAACCTCACCTCTTCAAAAACCACGGACAAAAATGTGTCAATCATCACTTGGTTGGCGGTACCCTGTTGTCAATGCTACTACCTACAAATCCGCAATTACAACCGCTACGGGAGCTCACCAAGGATGGATCTCTACAAAAACGCAGAAAAGCAAAATCCCACATGTAAGCTACTTGGACAAAATCACAACTACTCAAATTGAGAGGTAATGACCAAAGCGAGACCCCTGTGGTGATGTTCTCACAAGGTTCTCTCCATCGCGTCCGACGACCCAAAAAACAAGTCCTTTGTACCGACTTTAGTCCCTTCGACATCGCTCTGACATGACGTTTCGAACGTCTACCGTACTTTCGTCGTGGTCTCAGTTGCACTACCGGTCACAGCAGTCAAAGTGGGACCCACGATCAATCAAGTTGCTGGACACTAGCCAGGGAAGAAACATATGAATTCTAAAATATCACTCGCAATTTGCAAATTTGGTGCGTTTTCTGGAAATGATTCGCAGAGCAACCGAACAAAAGAACGACCTAGAATCCAACGCCGAAGGTGCCTCGAAGGCTCTGAAATCCGGCGACTCTGCCCTGAGAAAATCACATCTCAGTTGTTAGAAGCTTGGAATCTTTTCGTGACGACAACACGGATACGCGTCCCTAATTCCCTAATTAAGAACTCATTGAACAGTGCATCCGGAGCGCATGTGTGTATCACATGAGTCATCGCGGTCCAGAAGTCAAATCTCGAATGGCAACAAAAGGCGTTGCCGAACTATCACCCTGCGCTTCTGTAGCGCGCCAAGGCATTTAAGAATTGCAGTCGAAACTCGCTGAAATCGTTTTGAGAAACAGTGGGCTCGATCTAACTTGGCTATTGCTCGTTGCAGTGGAAATTCTAAGCACCGCTCATCTTTTATATTTTCTTCTGGCGGCGTGTGCACCAAACCAACCTTCACGCCACTTCGCTGCCTCCCAGTGTGAAAATCATCGAAGAAACGATGACGTGAATTCATCTTCGCTACCACTAGTGTGGACAGGGCGGCGGGGACGATGACTTGAGCGTGTCATCGGTGGCACCAGCGTGGAATGGACGGAACAGATCTTAGTTTGTCAATAGAAGCAGTATTCTACCCATTAATTTATATTCACTACAGTGGAATTAAACAATTTCTATTTTTGTCGACACCATTTATCACTGTAAATTGCTTTGAAGGTTTTGTGCAATTCACTGGCAGGTATCATGTTTAAATATATGTAACAAGCGTCAATAAGAACCTCAGAATATAGGCCTTTATTTTTATTTACAACGCTCACTACTCCCATTTTTTTTGCTTGGTTCCGCTTGTCGATTGATTCATGAGTGCGGCACCCACGAACTTGACAATCGTAGGCTGTCTCATTCATTTGCCATAAATGTGGATTTTAACGTAGAGGATTTGAAATGGCAGCCGCCTGAATGCAGCAAGAGTCTTGTGTCTTCAATGCGGAAGTTTACAAGCATGTTAAAGCTTGCAGGTGATTCAGCGGATCGTTCAGTTAAGCCATGAGGAAGCTTGAGGTTTAGTAGGCTTTTGGCTGTAGGGTATTGTTTTGTAGACGGAGATTCTGGTTTGGCCATGAAAATGTGTGACCAGGGGATATTTGTATGACCGATCGAATGTCTGCAAGCTGTTTAGTGAGTGCAATTTTCAGAGGACATTGGTCCTGAAGAGTCATGCTGAGTATTGTACCGCGTCACAGATGTGGAAAAGTAGGTGGGTTTCCCTGCTCTTGTTACTGTGGAGATGTGGATCCCTTTCTTTGGACAGATAGTCCTTGTCCTCTTCAAAAACTCTTCAGTTCCCCTCGTGCGTTTTTATCTTCATGACATAGCATGATCCTGGACCATGACCCCCGCATTGCAAATTTGCACGTGGAGCTTCTTATTTTCAACACCGTTTGATACCATTAGAATTGTACCGAACGTATCCCCTTGCAGAGGAAAGTTTAGATAGTTGGGGATACTTGTGAGCATATCTGGCGGTTGAACAGCGTATTGCCAATGAAACCTCGAAGCGTTACCAAACGTGAATAACAACAAGTGACCTCAGCATCCACTTAGAAAGATATTCGCTGGTAGGTTTTTGTCAGATGACCTAACCAGATAAACCTGCCATGTATATATTCTGGGCCCTTGTTTGTCTCTCTGTCTTAATCTGGTGTGATCTCCAAAACCTAGAATTGTTAGTCGCATCAGTGCAATGTTCCTTTGCTGAAGAGTTTTAGTAATATGTTCCATTTTGAGGACTTTGTTATCACCAAGACGAATTAGGTTGTAGAATAATTGGTGGCTTTTGCTATGTAGCCCCGATGTTGACCAGATTGGCACATGATCGCCCAAACAGATTAGTGTTGTGTAGTTTGTTCCGTTGTTGGTTGAGGTTGTGCGGTGTCTCCATAGCCTTAAGTATTCCAGTTTTGGGTTACTTAAGGTTTTAGAAAGCTTCAACATGACGCAGGGTTCAGTGGCCGATGTTGTGGTAATACTCTCTGTAGCTGTCATGGTATGTGCTTCACAAGGTTGACCTAGCAATAGCTGACACGGAATTCCGCACACATAATTTTCCATGATCACTGTTGCTTCGCTGCAGCGGTCTACGTATTATTGTCAACATTGTGTTCCGTAATCATCTATGCCAACCACGATATCCTTTTCGCCATCATTTTCAAATAGAGGTGGAGTTTCTAATACCGCCCCAGCATCCTCACATTCATCCGTCTTCCATCTAATTCCCTGCCCCAATCTCATTCCAACTAGAGTGTAGAGGTTAGAAAACACTATTCATTGTGAGGCTTCACAGACCAGCTGTTACGCATCGGAATAAATAATCTTTTCAGATGATTTAAATGTTGGTGGGAAAGTAGGAATCGTGAGAGATTGTGAATGGTTGAGGGAAGCTGTGAGCACCAAGTGAACTGGGCTTACATGTTTTTAGTGCTTATTCATCCTACACCATTCTCGTTACAGGAGCGCTCTCTTGCGTCTTTAGCTGTTGTGAATTGTCGTCTCCCAGTTATGCCAATATTTAATTTGTTTATGTTACTAGATGGTCTAAAAGATGTCAGTATCCAAAATCTTGTAGGGAATCATTGACAAAGCATCAGCGACCGTTACACAGGATCTTCCTTCAGATGTAAATCATATTGGGATGCACCTCAAAAATATCCTCCATATCTGGATATTCACCCCTTAACTGACCAGGTTATTGAAAATGTGTTACAGTATTAGTTTGTGGTTAGTCCTCTCAGCACTGATGTGAAAGTCTGACTTCTGCTGTTGTGCAGGATTAAATTAACAATTGCTGGAAAGGAATTTTTTCAGTCCAATCCATGCTCGAGATGTCTCAATCCAACTTGGTTCTGATGTAAATGCACTTCGACTTTCTCAATGTGAAAGCTACGTTGTCACCACATTTTCCTTTTCAATGTACTGATATGAAAACTGACTGAGTGAGTCGAAGCCCTTAGATTTTTTTTGTCCCCACTTTCGCTTCTTGATGTAACCAGTATAATTCTCTTCGGCCGAGTGCTAAGGTCTTGATTGTCTTCTCAGAAGTGTAATGTTGCTCCTTACCTTGCCTTTGAATACGCGTAATTACAGCATTTGTAATGCTCCCTTCCAATGTTCCATCAAGTTCAGATGGCCACAAGATTGAAAAAACACCTCCGACCGTAGTCAATTCCACTTGCCATTCTTCAAATGGATTAACAGTTGTTAGCTTCCCGAAGGTTAAAAGGCTGAAAACTGGTGAACTTTGTTGTATGCCCAGACGGAGTGAGATTGGCAGACTGGAGATATAGTTCAACGGACTTCGAACACTAGCAAATTACTTGTCTTTTGTAACCGGCTGAGTGACATTTTGTCTAGTTTAACTGGCAGTACAATTCTAATTTCTCTAATTTTGAGGTGCTGACTTAGTGGAGTTCTTGCAGTTGATACCCGAATTTTGCGCATTATAATAGTTGGAAGTATCAACGTTGGTTGAAGAATCAGTGTGAGTATTGTATATAATGATGACCCTGTACAGTTATTTTTATTAAACTTAACGATGATGTTAACTGCTGAGCCTCATTTCAACGTGTAACCATCTCGTTTGACTTCTGCTAGGAACAAGTTTTTATCTATCGCTGTGTTTAAGCCCAATGTGTGAACTTTCGCGTAACTGTATTAGTGGGATATTATCTAATCGTGTATAATCATTTATCCCTTTCAACATCTCTGAGGCACAGACTGAACATCCGAGTTGCAGAGGTCTGTGTCAAGAGTAGGCTGAAGAGCATGGATGTTGCTCTCAGGGCCTGGCTGAGTTGTGCTTACTAATTTGGGGAAACACTGTAATACAATCTTGTATTCTTTTCATTAGATTTGGTTGTAAGAGATCAGACTGTGCTTTGACTCTGTAGCTTAACACTTAAATGTTTCAGGGCCCTTCAAATTGTGGGTTCTGCTGGAAGTTGAGTAAAGAATGGAGCAGATGAACAATGATTCCGCTTGTTTAGTAGGAATGCTTCACTCTTGGCTCTAGTATTACGAGTCAGAACAAGCTAAAGTAATACCTTCATTTTAGATGTGTAAAATGATAATGACAAAACTCAATGATTTATATATTTGTTTAAATTTATTTTTAGTGTTATTTACAATATATAATTTTTTTAATTATTATTGTTTAAACTCAGTGATTTTAATATTAAATAAGATTTATTCATTTTGATTTCAATTTTGATTATACGTAAATATAAGGAAGAAAGAGAAGGCTGATGCAATTAAGCAATCACTCTCTGGTGATTATTGAAAGGACAACGAGGTATTGTATGAGCAGAAATTATTAAATCTATAACACAATCCGCTCATTATGTTAAGCTTGAGAAGTGTCATTAACTTATTTTCTTTTCGCCGAAGCGTATAATACATTCTGCAAAAACAAACAAGAATGCCAAATTTGGCATCGAAACTGTGGTGTTTGCCCACACTGTGGGTGTGGTTTACAATCACAAAATTGCTGTCGATGTTGAAGCCCACTAAATTACAGACTACAGTTCCCAAAATGGATGTTTAGCGAGGTGTGACGGGGGACACCTCGAAGAATCCATGAAACTTAAGCTTTGGCTGGAGGCGACGGTGATGGTCCACCGAAATCGCGGCCAGCGTGGCGTGAAGTGTATTCTATATAATGGCCTAGGCTTCATGTGGTCTTCCAACTTCCCTACCTCTTCTTGTTACTTGACACTGACGCAGATGTAGTGCACAGCTCCCTGGTGACTCATTGTCCTCATTCGTGCATTCAGCTTGTTTGCTGACTCCGCCGTTGGGCCTGTATGATCATGGCCAGGTTGACTGAGCTAGGTTCTGTAGGAAAGTTGGTCACGCTGCAGACAGGAGACCGCAGTCCCAGGGACCCAGCGACAGTTGATTCTGTGATCAGAGACTTCTGGAGGCACTCTTCAGGCCACAAATCCCGTCTAGGTGAGCTGTGAGTGGTCTGCATCACTAGTTTTTGCTTAGCTTGTGAACGCAACAATTAGACTGTCCTGGGAGAGGGTTTGAAGGGTACAACACCCGTTTTTGGCTGGAAGAAAGAGTGCGAGGATCAGTGATTTGAAGCAACGGCTCCACTTTGAGAGAATCGATCACTAAGGTTCGCTGTGTGTTCGTGCACACGCGTCGGAGCAAAGCAAAATTGTCGCTAAGTCAGTTCGCAAAGTACTGTGTTGTGCTTAACTTGTCATGTTAACGACTAGCCAGACTGGGTTCATGAAGGTTATAATTTTGTAGAGCGTGATCAATTGTTTGCTACATGATTACGTTACCTGTGCATAGCAGGGATCGAAGAATCAGGGTGAGTGAGTGGACATATGAGGCGCACTAAATACCCACTGGAGGAGCAACCATTTTTCTGTCTGGAAATGACATCTGTGAACATGGGAGAGTCTCTGATCGCCTCCCACAGTCTGTGCTTCGAGTATGCTCAACCTAATTATTTTCGGCAGCACAACCTTGAGCATCTTGCAATCGAGCGACGCGTAAACAAACCTATTCAACACCACGGCTAATTTCCCCACGAACATGAAGCCCAGTTTCCCTCAGACGTCATATTTGACCACTGAAAACCATCAAAATAGGGTATACTCAACCTTACCTCTATATCCATCATCGGCAACAACTGCTCAACTGGACGCGGCAGTGAGGCTAATATTCCCTGGAAGAGCAACATCAGTCAAGACATGAAGACATTACGGCGAGACCTTGCTAACAGGTGCCCCAGATCCTCAATCCTCTTGATGGAAATCATCAAATCTGCGGACAATGCTATTCGAGAATTTGGGTGTGGTTCCGGTATGTCAGCGCATTCCGGTAAAGATGACGAATCTTTTATATACAGGCAAGTTCTACACGGAAAATTTGTCAATTAACTGGAGCCATCCCTTGCAATGTTAACTTTTCGGAGGTACTAAGCCCAGTTACACTGAAATACATGTATGATGGTTGAATTGTGTTGAATAGGACCCTGAAGCTGAGAAAGATCCAGAGCTCGGGGCTGCTATCATCGACCACCCTTTCTATCCAAAGATTGTTCGTGCACTCATCAGGATCTACAAAGTAGCGCCTCGTCGGAGTGCTAGCTAACGCCGTTCTTCAGGTATCTTTAGTTCTTGCGTAGGTGCCGAATCTGAAGTTATGTAACTGGATTGAGCATTTGGTTCTAAGATGCGGATTGGTGCGCCCGGAGGCCTGCCTGCCAGACTGGACGAACTGACAAATAAGTTCCAAAGAGTTCAAGATTATCGTTAAACTTTAAAAACCGGCACCGACCCTGCGCTGGATCACTTCATGGTATGCTTGTCACTGCAGTTGTACTGTCATACTTTTCACTTTCCCAATGAGCAACATTAATCGATCAAGAACAATGAGAGCGCTTTTGTGAACAGAATTTCCTAAGAATTAGCACTTTTCTTTTTCTTTTTCGTGCCTTGAAGTACAAACCTTTGATGAGGGTTAACATAAACCTGTGAAAACATTGCGTTTCGGAATTGAACTTCTCATGAGAATGCGAAACAAACTGCATCTGGTTTCTCTCAACTGGGTTTCGCTTGGTCCGAATTGTGTTCTTGCAACAGAGATCTTACATGGAAATGCTTACGAAATTCACGGAGGATTTGAAGGAGCCTTTCGACAAGTTCATGCGGTTCACGGAGATCACCACCAGAGCTCTGGAAGATATCTGCGGCCACTGTGTAGAAAGTATGTTAAACCGCAGCTATTTTTTTCTCTGACTAGCGGCCATGCATAGAATTGTGTCAGATCTTTCAGAATAGGGAGAAAGGTGTACGTTTGTGCTCTGTCCTGGAAGTCGTGGAACGGGACTTTTGAAGGACGAGTGACACTGTTGTGGTGACGAGTAATGGGTGGAAGAAGGCCATCGCATCCAAAAACCTGCAACAGATCGTGTTGAGATCTCCAAAGCTGTTGGACCAGCTCAAGGCCACAGCGACACCCTGATCTAGCATCACCATCAGTCCTCGACTCCTTCATTCACCTATATCTATCTATGCATCTCTCAATGTCACCGTCCCTATCTCTCTATTCTTCTGTATGCGTCACGCTCCAATATTTGTGTACGGTTGAATTCAACAGTCTTCTGCAAACAATTTTTTTACTTCACGTAGTCCTCAACGACAGTGCTTTTTCAATGTGGTTTTAACACTTACAGAGGTCTGAAATTTGAGGATCAGCCCTTGCCGTGGTGGCGTAATTTATGTTGCAAGATTATCTTAGGTTTATGTGCTTGGTGTTGACCACTAATTTAAGTACTGTGTAGCTGGACATGTTACAATCAGAAATGAAGGGTACTCGAGTTCACAGCTAGAAGAATTAACTTGGTAGACATAGTGGATGGGATTTCTCATGAACTTGAAACGTTTCAATCTGCTTTGAGTACTGACGCATCACTATCATATTACTGTGAAGGACAGTTGTCGGACTGGATGTAGACAGCAGAAAGAGGTCACAAACATCAACTTTGAACTGCTATACATTTGATCCACCACTTAAGATAGACTGATATATTTAATTCGATATAACATTGTTGTACTCATGTAGAGTATATGCACGGTGAAAACTTTGAACCAATTGTCAAGCAGTTAATGTGGGGGAATTCTCACGAATGTCACCACTCAGAATTCTTGCCCTACAAGGGAATCCTAACAGCATGTTAACCATTCCTTCATGAACGGATAGCACTGCTGACTTGACATGTGATTGCGAAAAGAATCAACTCATTGTGTAAGGAAAGGCAACCGGAGTCGGACAGAATGGAACCAATGTAGAGGAAATTTTGTTTAATCCTTCTTAGTTTACTACAATGAGTTCTTAAACGAAGTTGGATGTGCAACCGTTCGAGTTGTTTGCTACGCTGCATCAATTAATTTGGAGGTGGGGGAATTTATGCAGCCACACCAGATGAGGATAGCAACTACGAATTGGACATCGGCATAGAGGAGCATGGAACACAAGAAGGCGACGAGCTGTGCATGAGTGACAAATTGAAATTTCTTGTAGATATAGACGAAACCGTCGTTGTTGACCCAATGGCATCGGACGAGAAGGTCAAGAAAGCCATGAGGAAGAAATATGGTTGCCACATCGGAGAGCTTAAGGCTGAATTCAACCGAGTGCGCAAGAAAGGGAAGTTGTCAACGAGTGCTCTCACCATCTTGAAGGACTGATTTAACCGCCATTCTCACTGGCCTTACCGTTCAGTACGCACCTCCTCTCGAACGTGTGCATGGTATCACATCGCGAACGCGACGAAACCTTAAAAGTTGTCAAAAAATTGAAACGAACGAAAGTCTAACATGGCATTCACGTGAATTGTCTTGCATGTATGTTCAAGCTGTTCTAACACAGGTGTGCTATCAACGCAGGAGATACAGAAAGATAACCTGCAAAACTGTGCGGCTTAAACTCAAAGCAAATCAACAACTCGTTCATCAATGAGCGTAAGAGGCACTGGAGCTGTGAGGGAAAATGTTTGCACTCCAACACTAAATTTTCCAGGAACACCCACGTCCAAATTAAGGGACAATTTACTTACGATTCATCTAAGAAAATCGTTAAGTGCCTTTCCTGTTGATACTCTGTTCACGTAGTACCTGCAGAGTGCAACATAGTGTATGAATGTTGCTGATCAGGCTTCCTGCAAATTGTCGTTATTCGATCATGTCGTGGTCAGTGATCTCGTTGACCCCCTCCAGGTGTGCGTTTTTGTAAGGTTTTCCTCTTTTATTCACACACTGAAGTCGCGTTTAAGTTAATACTTCATGAAGAATTACCTTACGCGAATACCTTTGATGGAACGCCTCAGC